CTTTTTTTTTTTGCCGCAAAAATTAATAGAGGTAGACCCAAAGAGGTTGATGTGAAGACAGCAACAACAATAACAACATTGGTAAGAACCTAGAAGCAAGAGGTGTAAAAGTTTAAGAAAAACCATACTTAATCCCATGAAGGTATTCCAATACAATACCACACCAAATCCAACTTTGAAGTACCATGAACGGTATGCAACAGACGCTCCCTCTCTTCATTTGGTCCTTGCCCCTCCTAATCTCTCCACAAAAAAAAATTGTTTGTCGGTCGTTTGGTCGAGGGGTTCCAGTAGTCCCTCCAAACAAATCGGAGAGTGTCCAGCTCCTTGCGAGACAGGGGTGACTCAGGCTTTAGTATGAAAAGTGTCCACGAAACACGTGGGGACAATTTTCATACTTATTAAGTTAGCAATTTTTCCAGTACCAGGGTACATGGAGGTACAGTGTGTGTTCCACCTACGGGAGGGACACGCGGGTTGGGAGATGGTGTTAGAAAGTCAGAGGTCGAGGAGAGGCATCGCACAGCATATCACACAGCGCACCACCTCATCCACGCATGGTCGACCAAGGGTTCTCACGTGCGTTTCACACAGCGGAGCCTAGGGCGACTACAGTGCGGTGAATAGAGACGTTCAAGTGCGGTGTCCCCAAAGTGTTCCCATTTGGTTGTTGGGCGTCCACTACCAGGGCGCACAAGAAGAATTTTCAATGGAGAATTTCGATGTTGACACATTTTGAAAACAACCAAACGCAAGAGCACCAGAAATTGCACGACAGACACGTCCGATGGCGTCGCGAAAAACAAAAATCGTTGATTTTCGCACAGGGCGGCCACAGAGAGAGGTTGCTCAAAACATACATTTCACGCGTCTACCCACACGCCTCCTTTGAAATCACACTCCAGATTTCAGCCAAACAAAGAACAAATAATCACAGTGTGTAGGACGTCCTATAGCAGCGGGGTGTGTGTGTGCGGTGGCGCGCTCAAATCTACTTCTTCTGAGGTCGTGATACCGAGGGTCGTCCTGCTGTGGCACTGACCCACCAATATCCGGAACAAAATCTCCGCAAGTTAGACCCACACCCGAACCCGTGTCTTGTACTGGGTGTGCTCGCCGCCGCTGACCTAAACCTCCTGAAATCCGGGTTTACTCTGCAGAAGCTGATGCCACCACGCAGCTACTGTTGACAACCCTCTTGACGGACGTGTCAAGGACGAACGCCAGACTAAAACTAGTATATTTACCAAAAAGACGCCCTTCAGAAGCCTGTCAACCCCTTTCAACTGCCATCTTTGGTTCGTGGCGGCGAGCACGGCTGTGACAAATGTTGGATTCCGTGGTTCGGGCACAGAAATCGGACTGTTTTTTTCAGCTCCAGTAGCAAACTTGAACGTGCCAGCACGCACGACGCCTTTTCATGGTGTCCTGCTGAGAATGTGTAGTCTATTTAGTGCTCCTACAGTAGCTTGTAGGGACGCAGTACCAGGTTACTGGCGGGAAGGGTGTTTTCGCTCTTTGCAATGGATTAATAGCGGAGAAAAAGAGCCAGGGTCAAAAATTCTTCTGCACCAGACCAGTGCATCCATTGCTGAATCCGCAAGCCCTCGGAACAATCTCTACTTTTGCAGCTGTGCAGAACAAACTGCGGTGCACCCACGTGTACAGCAGTAAGTCTACTAGTGCCATGGTGTACCAGGTAAGAATTGGTGTTGCACCACAAGAGCACAGGATAGGGGAACCGGTTCATGGAATCTTCGGTGCTTCATGCATGGTGTTGTAGAGAGGCAGCAGTATTAGACAAGTAGAAAATTCATCTCCTGCACTGCAGAGAGCAACAACAGCCAGCGCTTACGGACCTCCTCTGCCATTGGATGCATCATATACATCAGCTTGCACATCACCGCCAAGCAAAGAGGAAAAACTCACCTCGATGTCTTCGCACCCCAGCTCATAGCTGGACGCATCGACGTCTTTGACCCAGAGAGGGCTGGGTGTACACTCCTCACCGACGTCTCTCATGCCGTAAGCACTGAACCCGTTGTACAGAGTGTCGCCTTCTGGTCCCTTCCCAGGACCTTGCCGTCGCACAGAGTCCACCCGTTCTTGGTCTTGAGTTTGCTCACGGTTACCCGTGTGCTGTGATGGGTCAACGGCTTCCTGGCCGGCCACGAGAGATGCAGCCAATGCCGCAGCCGCCGCGGCTGTCCTCAAGTGGCTCCGCCTCCGTCGATACCGAAACAAGTGAGACCGCCCCATCGCCGCCAGAAAGAACCCAAACGAGGTGCACGGGATACTGCCCTTAACTGTGGAAGTGGAGCGTGTGCGAAGTCGAGCAGCCTACGAACAAGCCTCATATGCTGTCCTGAGGAAGAATAATAGCTGCCCGATTACCAGCTTTGTGGCTTTGGGAGAGAGATGTGGAACGTGGTGACCCAGCAACGCGTTCTGATCTACGGTACTCAGATTCTCAGATCTCTCCAAGAAATCGGAGAAGTTGAAGATTTGCGGTCCGCTCGTTGTCTGGCACACCACACGACGGAAGGTGCACACAGCAGTCTGACACATGTTGTGGTCGAGACAGTCTGACACATGTTGTGGTCGAGACTTGATCAACCACAACATGGTGGGTGGTGCAGATACTCTCGTTTTTCGCGCCATCCCACCATATCACATGATCAAGTGTTCAAGAAGAGCCGAGAGAGGAGGTATGATTACACAATAACCTTCGGCACTCGTCACCAAACACCGTACATTATACAATGTTTGTTTGATGTTAACCTTTTCGGTCCACTGCAGGCGTGCTCGGCCTGAGTATGTGAAAGTACGAAGGGAGAGGGGACATGAACAGCAGCGGTGCCGGCCGGTCCATAAGAAACATCTTCACAAGAATTCAAGTCTATCTACAGGCAGGCCCAGCTTTTATCAAGTACAGGGTGGGTACAGATTGTAGGCTGCTGCCTTCGTTCTACATAACGAGGTACCATCAAGAAGATTGGCGAATCAACGTCTTGGGCTCAGCCGTCGGCCCGCACAAAATACAATCCAAATCTTATACAGACGTTTTAGCAGTTCAGAACTAGTCTACATCTACCTGCTGTAGACTGGTGTTTAACAGTTTACGCCCTGCAGGACTTTGAGCCTTGCTGGAAAATACGAAGTAGGCATTTGTTTCCGACCGGAGTGCGAACCGTCGCGTCATTCATTCACGGGTGGTCGCGAAAACGGCAGGGAATGCAGCTATATTAGAGCGGAGACAATAAGCTGCAATTTAGATATGATGTATCTCACGAGTTACTTCCCGTTCATTCCACCCCACATGTGTGCACTCTCGAATCCAGTGAAGCGAAGGAAGTGTCAATATGGGTTACTGATATTGTTTTCACATTTTCGTTCATTATTGTTCTCCATCAACTCTCTGGCTCTCTCAAAAACAAGAGTTCTTTCATCTGTCGCAAATCTGCAGCAAATCTGCATTACGTCGGATGTGCCTCAATCTGAGGAAGACAACAACAACGATAGGATTTTTTGCAGTTTTTGGAGCGTGGTCGCGACATTATTGGAATTTCACGTGGGACCTCCAGCGGCTATCCCACCGGACATATATGTCCCAGCAAGGCGTCCCATGGGAGAGGCACACGCCTTGTGTCTCATCTCTAGCTCAATGGGCGATGGCATGGGACTCCCCAGGGACGTCCGGAAGTCGCACGTACCACGACTGTCCCATGGGAGAGGCACGCGCCTTATGTCCCATGTGACAGTCATGGTACGTGCGACTTCCGGACGTCCCGGGGGAGTCCCATGCCGCCATCGCCCATTGAGCTAGAGACTAGACGCACGCATTTAGTCCCAAAAATGAACGCGCGGGCTACAGATGTTTTGTTTTATTGAGAAGTTGAAATGGGCACGTCATGCGTCCCACCCGTCATTCCAGTCGTCGCATGGCATGTCACACGAGTCTCATTGGACTGTCCCATTTCAAACGAATGAGCTCCACCTCAACATCTTACTTACGAACTGCAAGTAATGGCTGAATACTCGACCGCACTGTCACTCGACTCGCCTTTCGAATCTCGACTCCCCTCCTCGTTGTGAGAGGCTGACACGCTCAGGTACGCTTAAAAAAACGGATCTACCTCGAGAAATGTCTTACTTGAAGAATAAAATAATGGATAAACTCTTGCGTCTCAGCGCTAGCGAAGAACTACTTTTAACAATAACCACAATACAGGGTCCCCATCTCAGGGTGCCACTTTCGGCGACTTCGTCTTCCAGAACCACATACCGCACCCCACCGGTTAGCTGGGGCGGTGCGAACCCCCCCGCTGCTTAGATCGGGCGGAAACCGACTGGTGTTCCTGTTCCTGCTCCGTGTAGAACCTCACTTTCATTCACTGGCAATTTCGATGAAACTGGCATGTACAATCGCCGTACCCAGAACGGCCTGCTGCTCTGAATTGCAATGGTGTGCATTACTTTTTCTATATGCATGCATGCATTGTACATTCTACCCCGCGTCACACATGAGGTTCCACCCCAGGCAAAGAGCTGTTGGGTATGTAAATCATTCCCCGAATCGCGAGGCACACTTCCTCCGTGAGGGCTGCACATTGTCAGTCAGAAAGGCACCTACTCTACCCCATTTGGAAATGATACTTTTGTTTAAACATTACTCTACGACACACGGGACCATCACCACGACTGGGCGTTGGAAACATCCTAACCCCCCGACATTAGCTGCGTGAATCTCCGCGACAACGAAACTTCAACGACTACCAGAATCCTCCTCTCAGGCCGGACACCTTCGCGCAAAACGCATGCAATCCGTGAACACGCAACATATCATGCCTTGAGCGTCCATGCCGTACGAGGGCTTACGTAGCACACTGCAGTGAACGTCGGCCACGACCACAAGGGCGACGACGACGACAAAGGATACAGCGGTGAGGTTCACAGTCCTTTATTTACCCTCGTTCCCCCATCACCGGGCCGTCCTGAGACTATGGGAGTTCGGGTAGCTCTTCCAGGATACCCCTTAACCGCCAAGCGACTTCGCGAGCGGACGGTCTTTGCGTGGCCTCCATCGCCATCATGTCTTGAATGATCTTTCCAACGGCAAACATAAAGGTGTCCGCGCAGTTGTCAGACCGCATGAGCACCACGACGACCATGGGTAATTATCGGGGCGAAAATCGTCGTTCTGTCGCACATCAGTGCACAACGACCAGTCAACGGAACGATTGGAAAGCTACGCAAACCATTCAAGTCGTAAGTCGCCTCTTGATGTTGTTTCAAGTGACAACAAAACGTACGAGGCCTTACCAAGCGTTTCAGACGGACAACTGGCGTGTTTCTCCGTGGAAGCGACGAGTGCACACGGTCGAGGGACACACATACCGCGCACACATTTTGTGGGGAGGTTGCGCCTACTCGTACGAAGCAGACGCGGCATGGGATTCACACACATACGCAACACCCCCACACGCCCGCTGACCAGAACACGCGTTCGCGTTGAACCATCCCGCTTGAAAGGGAGGAATTTGCAGTAGTCAGCAGGTAAGCGATGTCGACGAACACTAACTACACCCGCGCACCTCATAGTAGCTCCAGTGCCACGTTGTGGCGACGACGGCGACATCATCCTTCGACTCTTGCGCAACTGGCATCTTCACGCCGGCAGCAGCCAAAATGTGTTGAAAGACTAGACCCATCCTGTAGATATCGATTTTCTCCGTCATG